AATTAAACCTTATTTTCAATAAGCAATCCTGAAAAATATACGGGGGTGCTTAACTTTTTTCCAGGTGTATATTATCATTTTTTATCAACAAAATGTTCACTAATGGGTTTCACTTTGAGTGTTCATCATGTTACCTATTTGAGGCTGTCCGTGACCTTATCCATAGTGAGGTGGAGACATACATTCAGTCTGGGGGGCTCTGAGGCTGCACTTGCAGGTTATCCTAGGCTTTTCTGGAGAGAATTGAGATTTGCTTTTTCCAGGACCTTCCTTTACTCATGAAGCTAGTTTGGATCAGCCACTTTTGGCTCCTTTTCTTCCCTTGGTATATTGAGTGTGTGATGTTTTGGGTATTTCCTCGGTTGCTTTTGAGTCTGTGCCTTCCTTGATGGTGGAAATGTCTGAGGGTGAGTTCTCAGTTCTCCCACCATTCCTTGATATTGCAGTTCATGCAGAGAAGTTTACTGCTCAGTTAAATGAAGGGAGAACAATGTCTTGTCTGCTACGTTTGTTAGAACGATGTGCTTTCACTTACCACCACCAGGTGGAAGCATATTTAGACTCTCAGAGAATAGAACTGCTCCTGGAAATGTGGGGTTCCAGAATGGAGTCTGTGGTTAACCTGAATAGATCACAATTTTCTGGGATTCATCTGACCCTACCTACAATGCTGAGATATTTATCATCCCTACAACGTTTTTAGGAAGCATCTCGGCAATCGCCACATCACTTTGATGACAAATTGGGACCATTGCTAGTATCCACCTTGGTTCGATTGTCAGTTCTGCATTTTCCTAGTCTCTATGTTGTTGGGATTTGTTGGATAGAGATGATTTGTTGGAGGACATTTGTCTACCTGCTGCTGCCCTCCATAAGTTACATGAGGCCTTTTCTCCAACCTTTGTTTTTTGTAGGAGTTCGAGAGTCTTTGAATTTGAAGGTTAATGTCGCCTTTCTGCATTTATCCATGTCATTGTTGGCTTCTCGACTTTCCTCAGCTCCTACAGGAGGTCATAATTTCACTCCTATTAATTTTCTTGACCCCCATCATCAGACACTTGTTCCATGTGTACCCAGTATAGATTCTGCTCATATCCACGAAGTTCGACCACTCGGTCAGAAACCCACCAGTGGCAGTTTCTGGACATGTAGAAAACCTTTACTACGGATTCGTAGGTACTACAGGTCCTTGCATCAGGACTAGTCATTCAGTTCACATCACCACCACCAGTATTACCTCATCCTGTCATGTTTCCACCTCCCACAGATTTCAGAACTTTGTGCAGTGGAGAGAGTCATTCTACTTCTTCTTGAGTTTTATTCTCATCTATTTGTTGTGCCCAAGAAGACAGGAGATTGGCATCTGTTCATCAATCTTTTTTGTCTAAATCAATTCCTAGACTCTCCAAAGTTTACGATGGAGTCATTTCTCACACTGCATTGGTATTTTGCCCCAGGACTGTGGATGATCACGTTCAATGTCGCCAATGCCTATCTGCACTTTCCCATAGCAGAGTCATCCCGCCATTATTTGCATTTTGTGCACATGGATCTGGGGCTGCAATTCAGGACTCTGCCCCTCAGACTAGCATCCACTCCATATGTGTTCTGCTAAATCGTATGTTTTTTTTCTCATCACCTCCATTCCCTGGACCCATGCTTACACCATTCCATGGACATCTAACTACTGCTGGCACCATTTTATCAGTTGGTGGAACATCACACCCAGATGCTGCTTTCCAAAGTAACCACGGCAGGATTTCTTATCAGAGCCAAGACATCTCTTCTCACTCCAACACATCATCCATCTGGTTGTTTTTTTCAACGTGTATCTCAGTCTGGTTCAACTGACTCATCTGGCTCCACGTTATGGAACAGGCAATCCGATTCTTACTCATATCTCCTTCTCCCATGGTTTTTTATCTTTTGGGGATGTGGGCATCACTCAAATCCCTCATTGATTTGGGATGAGTGCACATGAGATTTCTTCAGTGGTTTATTCATAACCAATGGATCATGAACAGCAATCCACAGGATTCACCAGTTTCATTATTCACGATTGTCATCTTCAATCTCGAGTGGTGGTTAGATCGGAACAATACTACAATCGGTATTCCTCTGTTGCCACATTGTCCAGAGCTCCATCTATTCACAGGTGCCTCGCTTCAAGGATGGGGTGCTTATCTCAATGGTCAGAAATTCCAGGGCTTATGGATTTGATGATAAACCTTCCCTCCACATCAATGTTTTAGAATTTCTTGCTGTTCAAATGGTGATGTCTCAAGATTTGGAATTACTGAGGGGCAAAGTCATTATGCTTCAAGCTCTGACAATTCTATTGTGGTATCTTACTTTTCCAGTCAAGGAGGTATTCAGTCCAGGTATCTTTGTTTTTGAAACGTGGATCTTCTATATTGGGTCCATTCTCATCATATCATCCTACTAGATGGCTATGTCCCGGGAGTGAGTAATTCGGTGGCAGATCAATTGTCTCGACCCAACTGGATTCTCTCGACAGAATGGATGCCTCAATGAGGGGTTTTCCATTGGGTTTGCTTTCAGTTTGGGACATTGATAATCGATGTGTTTGTCACTCATTGGAATACTCAACTACCAGCATTTTGGTCACCAGTACCTCAGCCTTGTGCATTAGCAAAAGATGCATTCAGTCAGGACTGGACTAGATTGCACCTATATGCCTACCCACTGATTCATCTGTTACCCAGAATCTTAGCAATGATTCATTCAACCCATTGTCATGTTATGTTGGTAGCACCAGGTTGGCTGGCTCAACCATGGTTCCTGCTTTTGTGGTACCTTCAGGTGTGCCCATCTCTTCCACTTCCTCTTTGGCCCCTCACTGTTGAGGCATCTACAGTCTGAGATCTTACACCCATTCATCCCAAAGCTCAAACTGCATGTGGGGAGGTTATGTGGTCCTTTGCATGGCATTGGGGTTTGACTTCTAACGTCTAAGGTTGTGTGCCATGTACCTGCCTCAGTCTCTGCATCATACCATGATGGACATTTATGAAAGGAAATGACAAAACATATCAACAATGGTGTATTGTGAGGAGGTTGAACCCACTTTGTTCAGACATGCCAACCATAGCTCAGTTTCTGACCTGGCTTCTTGACAATGGTTTCATGTCTTCCACAATTACCCTATATAAGATGGCATTATAGTCTACCTTTAGATACTTGAAGAGATGGAAATTCTTGGAGTCCTCGTTGCACTCCAGCCTTCTCAAGTCGTTTTGGGTCCTTCATCACAAACGACCATGTCAGTTACCTAACTGGGATATAAAGTTGGTGTTACATTCTCTTTCTCAACATTCATTTGAGTCTTTTGTCTCATGTACTATGTATCACCTATCCTTTAAGGTTTATCTTTTGTTGCTGCTGGCCTGTGGACATCACTGGACAGAGTTGTTTGTTCTGCACATGCACAGAATGCTTTATCATTCTACTTACATCCTTCTGTACCCAGACAGGACCTTCTTACCTAAGACACTGACAGCCAGGGAAGGGGATAAATCTTTTTCACTAATTCATCTGACCACTATTTTTCACCTCTATGACTAATCGCATCCATATCATTTGTTATATCCAGTGAGCGCCTTGAAGTGTTATAATGCCCACACTAAATTTTTTAGAGGTGCTAGACAATTGCTTTTTCTTCATTGTGACCCTTCAGTTTCCTGGGATTTATCGCCATTTACATTGATAGGGGTGCATATGAAAATTAATCCATATTGCTCTTTGGAGATGAGGAGATATCTGCGAGTCGTGTCTCATCAGATTTGTCACATTTCTATGTCCTCAGCAGCTTGGTTGAACTGACTGCTGAAGATCATTGTGTGGGCTGGTATGGGGACCTCCCTCAATACTCTTATCTCGCATTATTTGCATGATCTGACAGTACCTTCCCTTGATAATTTTCGACTACTCTGTGTAGCTGTCTGCTAGATTATACAGAGGGGTGAGTATATTTTTTACTAATATTCTATCTTCTTTCCTTTCCAGGGTCCCTTATCTCTTTTTCACAGGATCCCACTCTGTGGTGAGTGTTGCCCAGCCAGATGTGCTTTTATCAAACCAAGCAACTACTAGTAACCACTAACACTGTATACTTTAAACAGATTGCAACAGGCTCTGTAGAAATGAGGTGTTCCATAAGACCACATAGAGGATTACCAGGTGGTATTACTGTACTATGCTGGACCTCAACTCATGGACTATCATGAGTAAAGCATATGGGGAGCCTACCTGTCCCTGCCAATCAGTGGATTGAATAAATTTACGGAACTTGGTTTACATATTGCACTATTTGCAGAGCATTGTTCTTCAGGACTCTCCATCATGCATTACCCCATGTATTCTACTGATGGAGCAAGGGAGACCTTAACTCTATTGGTTTCCAGTCACTGGGGTGGTAGACAGAAGTTATTCCTTCAGAGTGTTCGAGTGATTTTCCTCTATTCATGGACCCTGGATGATTTTTTCAGATGTTGCTATGAGCGGCTCTAGCTTATGCAGGATCTTATTTATAATACCAGTTCAGATTCGATGCTTAGCTATTTGGTTGGGTTGAGCATAGCCCTTCCTTTTGATCAATATGAGTTCAGTACATTGTTTGAGGAAGAAGGTCCATTATCTCCTCATAATTTGGAACACAGAGTGGCCCCATCCTAGATCCTTGATTGAGCACTGTTTGTTCCACATCCTCACATAATTTCGAGGGCAAATGTATTTTCGTAACTGCATAATGGCATACAGGATCTTGTTATTCTGAATTTGGGGTGTTGTCAATCGGACTTCTTCAGGTTGAGGAGAGGGTTTGTCCACTTCATTGTTGTTTACCTTTTCTTCACAATTCCGGTGGCTCAGAATGCATCACTTTATTGCTACAAGTTGGGATCCACTTACAAATGTATATATATATATAATAACATATTGTGGTCCAAATGCCCTAGCCACCAACATGGGATTTAGGGGCAATGGTTGTGGCCTGGCCAGCAGTGGTGACGGATCATGTCAAAGTTCACCTGCAGTGTGTGATTTAGGTTCTGAGTGAAGAGCATACCTGTTCTGGATGTAGTGCAGTTCCCTCACTAGGGTGGTAATCATCTATTGACATGACCCCAATCTATGCAGACACGTTCTGTATGGATAATGCCCTCACCAGCCCCTCCACCTTATCAATGTAGAGGTAAGTATGTTTTGGAAGTTAACATTTTCTTAATTCAAAAATGTATATTCAATAATACTTACCTTTTGTTGCACTCTTCCATCCTTCTTTCCCACTAAGAGCCAATGTTAGAGACTGAGAATTGTGTCAGTCTTGAAAAAGTGATAGTATTATCTGAGGAAGGTGCTTACATACAATACCAAGATAGAAGGTGCATTGACTTAGGTGGAAAGTGTCACGAGACAGATATTGCCAAGGGCAATTATGTGGAGAATAAAAGACTAGAGCAAGCAATAAAAAAATTGGACCAATGCTAAGATGGGCAAAGGTAAAGAAATCTTAGCAGTCAAGTAATAGCTGTAGTATGAATGGAGGTATTTATTATTGGAAATACATTTTCGATTTAACAAAATGTTAACTCTCCTTAGATGATTATCTAATAAAGAATAAATAAAATTAAACTTAGTATCTCAGATGGATAGTAATTTCATAATAGTAATGGATAAAACTTTAACACCATACTTTTATCACTTGCATGTATTTGTTATAGATAGTCATAAAAGAAGAATAAATATGTATTGCATTATATTTTGTTTGTTCCATTATATAAGTACAAAATTTGAAATGCTATTGACTTCTTGTAGAACTGGAAGCAAACTTCAATAAGAACAACCAAACATTAAATAGATACAAAGATATTCTAGATGGACTTCTACAAGAATCGGAAGAAGTTATTGAGGACATCAGAAAAAAGAGTACTTTGTACAGAGAGTGCACATAGCTTCTGTATGAGATAAAAGGATGAAAATGTTGCTTTAATATTCTGAGTTTATTTGTTCAAAATCAGGAAATTGAAAGATGCAGTTTTGTGAGTTATGTAGGTATTGTACATAATGAGAGATGATATACTGCTTTTGTTTACCATATTTACTTTTTCACTGCCAGAATATAACATTATAAGTAATTCATCTATTCCTTTACATGCCTAAGAGAAACCATAATATTGACCTTAAGAATATAAAAATAATTGACAAAGATTGTGACACCAAAAAGAGAAAAAATAAAGAAGCCGTTGTAATAGCATCACTTAGATAAGTGGTCTTCCTACAAGTATTACCCCAAACAAGAGTTTCCTTTTACACACTTGCTGGTTACCCCTTATCAAAGAAATCAAACCATTCATTGAGTTTAATACTGTTATAAACCTAAAGAAGCAATTTTCTTTGTCTCATATTATCCTAGCCTACTGTTTTCAGATATTAATAATAATATGGCTCCATTGTAATTTTTAATTTTATAGTATTTATTTTCAGTATTTAAATAGTCTTATTTGTTGTGAAACAATAGAAGACAGTCTTTGTAATTATTGTTGCTAGGCAATTTGTATTTCAATATGTTCATTTAGTTGCTTTTACTGATTGAACATCCTACACCTGTCAAAGGTTCAGGCAAGTGAAGAGAAAACTAGTGTAATAAAAGGTTGCGAAAACAATATCTAGTTAAGTTCCATTGTAATTAATAAGGAAAGATATTTGTTCTTTCATGCTATATTAACCTTTAAACTGAACTATTTATGTTTTAGGTTAAAATAATTTAAAATGTCTTGTATTATTATTATGTTTGATTAAAGTATTTTTTCTACTTAAAAATCAATTTCTTAAGGCAATAATCTGTTGTTTTTTTCTTAGGGAGTAGTTTGTGTTTAATCAGTACAAATTTGTAAAAGAGTAACAAAGGTAAAGTATAATTTAGTTACATAGTCTAAATGTTCACATATGTAGATATGCTGGTTTTTGTTCTATTTGTAGGAAGCTTAAGATCATATATATTATGTCCTAGTCCTTGCAGCACAAAAATAATGGTAATTATGTTTGTTTGTAACATTAATGTGCATAAATGTAACTGATATACAACTGAATTTTTAACTTTAATTTTGTTCCTAAACTGAGAGAAGATAAATTATCATACAGGATATATTAAAGTTATTCACATTTTAAAAGGTAAGTCGTAAATTCTAGGATAAATATGAGAAACATTACAACTTAATTTATGCTTATAAAAATTGCAAAAAGGAAAGCTTATTTTAATTAACCAGCTGAAGGCACTGCAAATGTTTTACTTTGTTATCCAAAAAAGTATTTTTTTATCAATATGTAGAATTAAACATTAACTATTGTTATTTTGTGCACAAGATTTGTTTTTAAGAATTTGGTAATTCATTAAAAGATAAAAATGAGTAAAATTTATTCAAGATTATATATTTCTTTTTTACTTAATTTTTTTATTGTTTTCTGGTTTTATATCTTATATATTACTTACTCCAAGATTAGATAATTTTAATTTGTAATATGAAATAGGAAAATTAAGTACACCCTTACTTACTTTTTTATTTAAAATTTCACTGACCATCTTGTCTCCTGGTGGGTAACCAGTAAGTTGATGGACTTAAAATGCTAAAACCCAGGATTTGATTTTTAGTGGTTTAAGAGTGAAGATAGCCTGTTGTGTAGCTTTGCATTAAAAAACCAGCAACAACTCCTCGTCTATATTTTTTCATTATCCTGTTGTGAAAGAGAAGTGGTGTGAGAAGAAAAGCCTCACTATTCTGAGTTTTAGGTTGTCAATTTTACTTTATTTAAAAATATTAACCAATTAAAAAAAATACTACAGAATATGTGAAAAAATAATACTAAAATAAATGAATGAAAATTTTGAAAGTAGCTTTTTAATGGATGTTTGATATTAATGGGGAAATTTAGGTGATTTCATAATAAAATATATTACTCTTTATCCCCTGTAGACTCTGCACAATAATCTAGGTGATGGCAAAGCATTCACAGAAGCAGCTGTGTACTGGACATTGCTATATAAATGGAAGTAATGAGTCACTGTTTTTATTAATGTGCATTAGTAAAAGATGTATTAAGAAGTTCACAACAGGAACATAATTCATAATATGATAAATATTGGAAGTTTGTAATTAATTATAATTCAGCATGGCATGGTTCGCTGGTTAGGGCACTTGACTTTCAATCTGCAGGTCACAGGTTTGAATTTTGTCACCAAACATACTCGCCCTTTCACCTATGAGAGCATTATAATGTCACGTCAATCCCACTATTCATTGGTAAAGTGTAGCCCAAGAATTGGGAATAGATGGTGTTGACTAGCTGCTTTCTCTCTCTAGTCTATCATTTAAAAATTATAGATGGCTAGCACAGATAGCCCACAAAATAGTTTTGCAGAAAATTCAAGAAACAAACATAATTATAATTCTTATTATTTCACTAGCAAATATCAGTATTTCATAACTCTGGCAAAACATAATTTCAAAGTAAATTAAATATAAAACATTATATTTTGGAAAATAATACATTACTTTAATTGAGCTGTTTTTTATGCTGTTAATTTCCACCTTAAACTTCTGACACATTATCTTTGTACTTCAAATGGTTTCTGTACATTTTGAATATTTGCATTACTTACATAACCTGATCATTACTAAGGGCTTTAATGTTTTTATTAGGCCATAAGGCACATGTGTACTGTCTTCATCTTGGAACATTAATTGTATGTTACTGGTCCCTCCTGGTTTAATTTGACTTCCAAAAAAATTAGTTTTGTTACTATGTAGCAAATATAAAGGTTTAAACGTAAAAAAATATAAATTTGTGTGATGATTTAAAATGTGAATATAAAATCTTTTTTATCTAATATTTTCAAGGTAATTTTTTAATTTAATAGTGTTTTTGTCCAATATTTTTAAGGTTATTTTTTAGTTAATAGTACTTTAAAAGTAAACTTAGATTTGCCTAAGAAGTTAATCT